ACAAATATTTTTATATTTTAAATATAAAATCTCCTTTTATATATAAATTGTTGACAAAATCCATTTTGCCCATAAGTTTTTAATTTAAATTAAATAGAAAGTTTAGTATTATATGGTCACATCTCTTATTTGAATATTGAAAGTTTCTACTTGCTATTAGTAAAGTAGATATATAAGAAAGTATTTATGATGTCTATCAAACAGAACAACATTGTGCAAGAAGGAAAGAAAATATCTTCTACCATTTTGAAAACATCACATAAAAAATTTATTAATTATTTGTTTTTTTATTAAAAATTTTTACACTTTTGAGTTTACATTTTGAAGATAGAACTTTAAATAAATTTCTCGTATTAATTTTAGTAATTTTTTTTTTAATTAAATATTTATTAATAATTATTATAGAAAATATTATAATATAATATTAAAATATTATAAATATTAGTTATAAACATCAATTCTATAATCAAGTAATAAAAATAAATCAATTTTTTATTTTAATAAACAATTTATTTATTTATTTAAACAATAGTAAAATTATGAATAAAATTTATATAAAAAAATAAAGAAAGAAGTTTCAAATGAAATATTTATATTTAAAAATAAATCCTGTAATTAGAAATGAATAAAAAAGATATTGTGAATCGATCGTGTCAGTTTGTATAATGCATTAATTGTTAGTGAATAATTAATTAAAAAAAACTCCGCATTAAAATTAATATCAGAAATTTGTCTGAAGTTTTAATTTTAAAATATGAAAATTTTTAGAAGAAAACGCATAATTAATAAATTTTCCATGTAATATCAAAATAGCAGGAATTCTTTTTTCACAATATTGCTCTTCTTATCTGTAACAACAAGAATACCTCTTTCCATATTCTTTACTAATAATAAGTTGGAGTTTTCAAGATCCAAACGTGAGGCGTCACAGATAATTTTTCTCGTTTGTTTCCCTTCTAATTTATGAATAAATTATGAATAAAATTCAATGAAGTAATTTATATTTATATTTTATTCCAATATAAAATTAAGAATAATTTCTTGCTTCATAAATAATTTACAAGAAAATTTATTTTATTGGTTTTGAAATATTTTTGGTATTTTGCTTTACTGATTTAATTAATGTTTGTAGTTCTGTATTAAACTGCATTTTTGATTCTTTAACAGGTACTTCCTATAAATTTTAAATAAATAAAATTAAGCAGATATTTTTGAGAATAAATATATATGAATAAATTTTACTTACCTCATTATAATCATTATTAGCTCTTCTTTTTAATTTTTCTTTAATTAAAGCTTCAGTACCTTTAGTTTTCCTATAATGTGGATCTGCTGGATCAATATTAAAATGATGCGATGTAAACAAAGCGTTAAATCTTGAATCTTGAACATTTACTTCAAAGTTATCTTTTATTATTTGATCTTGTGTATTTTTCTTTTTATTTAATCGTTTTTGCTTAGACTTTGTCATTGTAGCGTTTTCTTCGATTTTTTTCATATTGAAATGTTGTTTATTATCTTCATTTTCATCCATTAATAAAAGTTCTAATTCAGCTTTACGTCGTTCTTCATTTTCATCGTCTGATGAAAAAGAATTATTATTTTTTATAGCGTTTTTCTTTTCATGAGATAATCTATTATTTTTTTCATGATTATCCAAATTAAGCATTTCTGAATTTTCAGAATCGGATTCATCTTCAGTTCTATGTTTTTTTCGTTCTTCTCGTTTAGCTTTTCTTTTTGCTTTTCGTTTTTCTAAATATTGCTCAAATGGAGTAAGATTTTGATCTTTTTTTAATCTTTCTTGCACTAATTTTTCAGCTTTCTCTTTCGTGCCTAAACCCCAAGTAAATTCCAACTCAACGTCCCTTTTCTGTTTTGCTTCTTCTTTTTCCTCTATTTCTTTCAATAAAGCTTTGTATTTTTCAACTGGATCAGCATTTGTTTCCTCTTCTGAATTGATTTTATTTTTTTGTAATTCTTTTTGTTGTTCTTCTTCTTCTTCTTTTTTCATTAATAAAAAAATATTAATAAAATATTAGAAATACTAGATAAAATATTAGAAAGAAATAAAATATAAAAAATAGAAAAATGTTGTACCTGCTTCATTATCACTTGAATCTGTTGCTAAATAAGCTTGTAAGTCAGTTTCATTAATTTCATTTAATTTTCCAGAATTCAATTTTTGTGCAATCTCTATTCTTTCAGGATTTGTTTCATCCCAAGTTAAGTTCACTTTAACTTGTTGTAAAGCTGTGGTTATGAATTGTCTCGGTTGATATTTTGTAAGCTGTGGTAGCTTATCACATATTTCTTTAGGAGTCTTAAATTAGACATTTAAGATTATATATAATAATATTATATATACATTATAATTAAAAAATATACATACTTGATCAAATTCCATATCATTTGGTATAAATCTAAGATCTAATTTTGTTGCTGTAGATTCATATTCTGTACCATCACATTCTGTATAAATTTTATTTGCAGTTTCAGCAGAATCAAAATTAATTACAGCATAATAATATTTTAATCTATTTAATTGATATTGTCTTAATTTTTCCATATGATATGCTGATCCTTCCTCCTCCTCATTCTATAAAATTAAATTCTAAAACTATAATTTTATTTATATTAAAGAAAAAAAAAAGAAAAGAAAAAGAGAATAAGTTTATACATCATTTTCATCTTCATTTTTCTTTTCTTTATCTATTTCTGTTAATTCCTTTGGACCTTGAAGTTCTTCTTCTTTCATTCGTTGTATACCAAATTCTGAGGGATAAATCTGAAATTATTTCATTATAAAAATTATCAAAAACCATTTATTTAATTTAGTTATCCATTATACATACAATAATTGAACTAATAAAACCACCAAGAGGTAAGAATGAATTAAATAAAACCATTAAATCTACAGCACGTATTCTATCCCAATCCATATTACAAAGTGCCAATCTATGTGTAATTTCATTTGTTGTTTCAGCCTCTTTATCTAATTCACCCCAATTGTGTTCAATATCTTCTTCATCTAATTAAATAATCAAATTATAAATTATTATTAAATTCTCTGTAAAATTAAAAATTTTAATTTGTTAAAGATATTAGTTTATTATATATTACCAGAAGTCTCAAAACTTTCTTCATCAGAAGAACTATCTGTCATTAAAATTCCTTCACCTCTAGCATAATTTATACTTAAATCTTTTAATTTTTCTTTAATCTTATCAGTAAGCTTCTTAGATTCACTCTTGCTTCTAACATTTAATTGTTTTTTACTTTCTTTTAAATCTGCTTTTAAATTTTTGACATTTATTGCATCATCTATGTCAGATTCAGAGTCAGATTCAATGTTATTCTGTTCGGAATCTTCTTGTGGTTTAATCCTAAGTAGTTCTCCATTACTTGAAAAAAAATTATCATCTGATGAATCATTATATTCATTTTCATTTTTTGGACTTCTTTCTTCCAATTGAGGTATTTCATTCTTTTTATCTTTTTTTTTATATTCATTAAATTTTTTTTCTTTTTGTTTAGATTTTTCATATTCTTTTTCGTCATTTTCTTCTTCACTGCTAGATAGATCATAATATTTTCTAAGATTTTCAGATGATGTTTGATTTATAGGTCTACCTCGTTTATCTATGGTATATTGAATCTTAAACTTGTTATCTTTAAACATACTCTGAAATCTTTTATCTATTTTTACTTTTCTTTCTGTTTTTGGGATCCTCTTAAATTTAGGATCCCTTGCAATGTAAGCAAATCGTTCATCATTTAATAATTCACTCATGCTAATAAAAAATGTTAATAATAAATATTAATTATATATAATTAATCTAAATAATTAATTATTTTTTATCTTTATACGAAATATACTAAATTGTCCACAATAAATATTTTTATTTTATATTTACCTTATTATTTTTTATAAGACTTTATAATATTATAATATATTTAATATTATAAAATTATCATATACTCTTTAAGTAAATTATTTAAGATTTTATTTTAAAATTTAAAGTTATTTATTAAATAATTTTAATCATACTCTCTACATGTATTTATTGTCTCATACCTGTAACATAACCTTATTTAGAATATTAACCTTAATAGTATGTAAGGAAATAAGTAATATTTATATATATTGCTTCTTATTGGTTAATTGTTAGTTCTACTGGAAATTATTTAACAAATTTTTTTAATAAAAGTATAATAATATTAAATAAAAAAACAAACAATTTCATAAAAAAAATTGAATAATTTTATTAATAATAAAAATTTTATGAAAAAAATATATAAACATACATCCAATAATAATTACAGTTTATAGAATTAATTGTTTAAATTAAAAAGTAATTATTATATATATTTTACCAATAATAATAAAATATATTTAAATATTAATCAATTTTATTTTAGTGAAATAATTATTAAATAATTATTAAATAATTATTAATAAAATTCAATGTTTCAATGTTAAGCTACATTGGAATTAGCCAATCAGATTCATTCCCGCCATTTTCCAGTCCTGTTTATTATAACTATATTTGACGCATTATCGCGTCGTGTAATCGTATTTTTTGTGTTCTTTGTGATCTTATATTTTATATTTTTTATAAATTTTCGAATAATTTTATTCTATCATTAATAAATCATGTGAACAAGTTAAATTACGTTTCTTACGTCAAAAAATAGAGTTGACATTTCATGTGCCATATTTAACTAATCATCAAGAAAAACATAAATTATAATCATATTTTTGAATAAAAAATTTTTTATTATACTGAAAGAAATGAATACTCCAACTACTAGAGATTTCTTGCGAAGACCAGATGGAACGCGTAGAAGATCTTCTCGTCAAGCTTTAGCAGTAATTCCCGTCAACAATTCTGTTTCACCTGGTACGTTTTTGACATTTTTCATATTCTATTATTTGCTATTTTTTGTTTATTTTGTTTAGTTTCAATTTATGCTTTTTAGGAGAAGCAATTTCTACTGAAGTTAATGCAATGGATAATTTTTTAAATAGTCGTCATGGTTCTGAATCTTGGAGTCCTGCACCTAGTCCTGATGAACTGGTAATTCAAAAAAGAGGACGTCGTCGTAGAACTATAGTTTGGTCTCCTGATCTTGATACTTGTAAAAGGAATAGTCTTTTTAGGTAAAATATTAATTTTTTCTAATTTGCAAAATAATCATAAATAAATATAATTAAATTTATTACAGCTCAAGTTCTAAAGATCGTACTCCAGTGAAAAGTCCATCGAAATCAACTATGATATTGAGAAGTACACCTAGAAAGAGACTTTCTCTTGCAGATAACAGTGAATCTCAATTTACAACACCAGACAAAAAGAAAAAGTTACAAAACTTATTAGATACTAATAATTCACAAAAATATTTTACTGGCAATTTAGTAAATGGTTTGAGAGGTCTTAGTCATAATCAATTAGTACACATGATTATGGATTTAGTATCTATGCAAGAGGATGGTCTTCTACACAACAATGACAAAATACGAAATATTTTATTGAAAAAAATGCCAATGGCTGATATTCAATCATTGATTGATATATTAAATAATTTAAAACAAAATATACAAGCTAGCATTGAGTTTTCTGATTTGAATGGTTTATCTAATATTCATTTAGATGCCTTTCATGTATGTAGTAATTTTTTTACTTTTATATTTTTTTTTTTATTATAAGTTTTATTATTATAAGTTTTATGTTTTATTATAAGTTAATAAATAAGTATTATCTTGATTTTATATAGAAAGCAATTATAGATCAGGGAAAAAGACTTGTAGAATCACAGCATTGGATATCAGTAATGCATTATGTATATGCAGCATGGAATATTACAAAGCAATTAAATGAAAAAGAATATCAAAGTATATGCAATTTGACACATAAATGTTTTAAAAATTTGACGCATTTTTGTTCTCAAGCTTTGAAAAAAGGAAATTTTACAAGTACTGTATTGGATATGTTTGCTGACAGGTATTGATAAAAAAAATATTTGACACTTATATTTTGAATATAAAAAAATAAACATTTTGTTCAATTGTTTACAGACTTGATGCAATGGTTGAAGATTATGAGGACTTAAAAGTTTGTTTACAATTGATAAACGAAGTAAAAAACAACGAAACTTAAATATTTTTTCTACATCGTTTTCAATAACAAAAAAACTATATATATTATAAACATTATTTCTATACATATATATATATACATACATATATATATATATATATATTTTTAATATATACATAAATTTTAATTCTCATTGTAATGCAAAGACTTTACAGGAGTCTTAATCATTACTAGATAGACTATATCTTTTTTATTATCTTTTTTTTTTTTTTTTTTTTTTACAATTCAATCATATAATGAGATTCATATGGACCGGTATTAGTAGTAGCTTTAAGAATATTTAAAATTTTCAAATGATATTTTTATATTATGTTTGTATTAAATATTTTGAGATATTTGACATTTTATAATCTTTGCAATTATAATTTATGTTATGTTAATGAGAAATATCATTTAAGAAGGACATCTAAGGTAATTTATATATTTCAAACGTGATCGTTAAATTCATTTGTATTATTTATGATTCATTTGCGATAGATATGTTTTTTTAAGGTATTTATAAAATTTTAACTTTTTTTTTCTTAAATATATCTTATATGTATTTAAAAATACTTAGGGACCATACTTATCTTATTGGTACAATTTCTTGTCTATGGTTTTGTCTATGTTTTCATGACAATTATATTTATATATATATATATATATATATATAATATATATTTTATATATATATATATATATATATATATAAAAACATACAGACAAATTGATTTTTATTAAAAACAATTTATTCGTCATAATATATCATGCATTCTTACATAATATACCATTATTACTTCTGAAAGGCACATACTTCATTTACGTGTGTGTATGTGTGTGTACACGCGTGAGTGCGTGTTTATGTAGTGGAGTGGATGCGTGTAAATGTCAAAAACATTTTGAGAATCGAATAAAATTCTTTCTTTTTTCTAGAATTGATTCAGTTACTGTTTTTTCAGACAGTATAACAATGATCTTAGAATATTTGTAATCAGATCATTAGAATTTTTCCTAGACAATAATTAATTAATTAATATCTATGTTTAATGTATCAAGTTTTAAATTGATTACTTAGAGATTCTCGAATCGCATTGATTTGTATTACGCTTCAAACAACAAAAGAAATATTGGATATGGTCATATCGGACCATCGAAATTTTTTTTAATCTCTTCCGTGTTCGCAAGCGTAAGATTATTAATTTTTTTTCTTATAACGGATCATTTAAAAAGTGCGTATTGGCAAGATTACATTATACACAATTCTTAGGAACATTTTCGAAATCCGAATTATTTTTGATCGGATTTGGAAAATTTCATTAGACGAATAAAAACATAACAATGAACGCAACAATAATCTGACTTCATCTAAATAAAAACATTTAGGTGAAACAAATCAAACGCGTTTTAAGTATGTCTATGCAATTTATATAGAACATTTTATGTTCTATGGTAATATGCGTAAAATAAAAGTTGTCTCTTTAACGAGATTGAAAAATCGTTCAAAAAGTTTTGTCTTTCTCGTCGAATCTCGAAAAAAACGAAAATGGAAATGAAAAATTATTCAATGAAAATATTTCTTTATCTTAAAAAAAAAAGTGTTGAAAATTTTTTACTATTTTCAAATAATTACAATTATTTTTATTATGTTTATATTAACAAACAATAAAAACAAACAATAAAAAAAAGTTTGCGTTTATTGAAAATAAATAAAATTGTAAATATTCTCAATCGGACATTCTTAATCGAGACTTGATTAGGATGAACCTAAGAAAAAACTTTTTAAATGATCTTCATCACGGCGCAATACTTAGGCGTTGGATATTAAAACGTAAATATTCCAATTATTGACTACGCGACCGTCGAGCTAAAAGTGGAATCACGGGTAAAAGCATTGAAATTTTATTTTTGTATTGAATTGTTTTTCAATTGAAAGAATTAGTTAAAAATCATTATAATCAAAATTATATCATTCTTTGAGTTATATTTTAATTTAAAAGAGAAAGAAAAGAAATAGATAAGAGTGAAAAAAAAAATAAGAACAATTAAACTTTACGCATGTAGGATGTGTAGTTTATCATTTTTTCGCTTTTTTTACTTAATTATATTTTAATTATTTGTTTATGTTACGTGATTCACCCATGATCCGGACTTACTAGCAATATTCATTTCGTTTTACAAAAAAAGAAAAGAAGATATAAAAAACTATATAGAACATTCTGTTCGCTTTGTTCGGATGACAATGGGACGCGATTAAATTAATATAACGATCCGTAATGCGACGATGCAACTATGATACTTAACAAGATAAAGCTGCGAATCGAATACTGTGGTAATGAATCATCGGATATTATGAGTTCGCTGACTGAAACTCGCTTCAGTCGACCTTTGCCGGTTGCACCCTTGGATATAACTGAAAAAATTAAAATAAATTATTATAAAATAGATATTATTAAAATATTATTAAGAACAGATCAAAGATATTTTAAGGATTTACTTTAATGTTATATTTCTATTCTTTTTCTTTTTCTTTTTCTTTTCTAATTAATTATAAATCATTCTGTTTCTTCGTTTCGTAGATATTCGGACAACTTACGCCAAGTAAGTTTCTAGGTACGTAGCCTTCTTTGTGTCCCAGTTTGCTCCACCACCATTCTCTCTCGTTGTCATCGCCCTTCCGAAGGACAACTAAGGAATCACCATTCTTCAGAGTGAGTTCATCGCTGTGTTGTGCCTCGTAATCGAACACTGCGTATACTTGACCATTGTTCATTATTCCAAGCTTCTCTTGGACGCCTGTAACGTGATATAAAACCAGTATAATTTGCTCGATAAAACTTTAGAGATACATTCTATTAAGACGCATTAATCAGTTTACATTAATACTGACTGTATAAATATTCTGAGCAACCATCGAAACCCTCCTCGTCTTCTTCGCATTTTTCTGCTGCAGTTTCATGGTCGGAGAGAGTAGTGGCGAATATACAAGCTCCGTGCTCCACTAGAAATCTTACCATGGATAAATTATTGCAGCTTGCGGCACAGTGTAAGGGAGTCCTGCAATAAAACAAAAGTGAGCAAAGTGATTCAAGAATTATAAAATATAAAATATACGATCGAAACTTGACAAACTTCTTACCATCCATCGCTGTCCTGAGCGTTCACGTCGCAGCCAAATTCCACTAGAAACTTGACTATCTCCAGATGACCGGCACAAATGGCATTATGAAGCGCAGTAATGCCTTCATCGTTAGCTGAACTAGGATTCGCCACTTCTTTAGCAGTCTTCTTCACCAATTCCAATTCACCTTCGAGACTGGCGTCCAACAGTAGAGCTAAAGGATCAAAGGAGACCCTTCTCGAGAGATTCGCTTTCCCCGTGCTGGACTTCAAGTTCCCTTTCTTTCTTCTCATCACCTCGTTGTTCTTCCCATCGACTTCCAATTCCGTTCTTCTCTCGGAATCCTTCCCCTTCACTTTATCCTCGATATTAATAACGTTCAACGCATCGATGATATCCGCTTCCTCCAATTTCTCATTACTAATCACATCTTCGTTGATGATCGGAACGCTCTTCTTGCAGTTGTCCGTCGTATCGATGATTTGCGATTGTTGCTGAGGTTGTTGCGGTTGTTGTTGTTGCTGCTGCTGTTGCTGCTGCTGCTGCTGCTGCTGCTGTTGTTGCTGCTGTTCCGTTTGCATCAGGTCCGCTGGAATCTCGGTTTCCGGAAACAGAAACGCCGGTGGCATCTCAATCCGTCGATTTATCGACACGTGGACATTCGACTTGGCGTAACGGAGCTTCGGTTGCTCGGAGATCGGTGCCTTCTTCAATGTTAAAGGCCTGGCTTTGATGATTTGATGATTGCCGAATTGGGTTTCTGTCGGAGATTCCGGTGGTTCGGACGTAGGGATCGGTGGAACGTCTTCTTCTTTCTCTGTTCTGTGAAACGGTGGAAACGGTCGATTAAGATGACTAACTCGAGAATTGCAATTTTCGAAAAAAGAACAATCGAGACAGTACGATAGACGTGGGTATAATCCTTGAGACTTAGAGAGTTGGACAAGTTTTGACACGATATATATATATATATATATATATATATATTTTGAAACGTACAAGTTCGATACTTTGAAACAAGTGTCTAATAAATCAATAATCCACCGAAGATATTAAGTTTAGTCAAAGTTTTGATGTTTTAAAAAGATATTTTTCTATATATTCGATTTAGAATTCGATATTTTGTATTTCGGTTTCAAGTTCTTTTTTTTCACGGGACTTTTCCGCGTTTCGAATATATTATGTTATTTAAGGAAAGAAAAGCGATCGATTTAACGATAAGATTTGGAGGGAACACGATCGAGAAACAGGAACTTAGATTTCGCCTCGATCGATTGAAGAGCTCGCGAGCACTAAGCTGTTGTCTCAACTGCACGGTAGTGGTTCTATTTTGGTGTCTATTATTCGAGATAGGCTTCGATTCACCGGCCAAATCGATCGCGAACTAATTAACATTTATAATTAACCCGGTAATCGTTTTTACGCGCTGTGCTCAAAATCCCTGCTCTATCACTATTCGATACCCTTTGGCCAATGAGATCGTCGAAATGGATTTAATCGAAATTCCGAGTCGAAAATTTAAATTCGAATCTAAATATAAAATAAATAATGAATTTGTCGAATTCAGAGATTCAGATAGACTTATTAAAGAGGAAAATTGAAATGTTCAGCGAGCAAACCATATTCACAAACCTCGTATTGATCCCTAAATTGTTTTTGCAATCGCCGATCCCATCGCCGCTCGGATTGTCCATCTTTTCGTGATGGGTCAGCCGTGGGGGGGGATTCGGTTTGCTCGGTTTCGGAGGTAGAGCCGGTTTCGTCTTGTCCTCTATCATATTTTTCCTTTCGTTCTCGTTTTTCAATCTATCGAATTCGAACGTTTTCTCCACAGTTTTCGCCGGGATCTCAAATTTCCCATTGTGCTCGTGCTTCGTCGCGGAACTTTGCTCGAATTTGTTGCTCTCGAATTTGACAGATTCTTGCTTGAATTGCTGCCCCCCGCTCTCCCCGTATTTGTTCGAGGTTGTTTCGTGCTTAAATCCCGCATTGTGCTCGTACTTGATCGATGGCCTAACCTCGTGTTGATCGTGTTTACCGTATTGTTGAGTATTCTGATTAGGATCGTACTTGGTTCCATGAATTTGTTCGTGTTTATTCTGGCCGGTTTCGTACTTCCCTTGATCGATCTTCGACGATACGACGTTGTCGTATCGACTCGTCTGATTTCCAATTTGTTCGTGCTTGCTCGATTGTTCGTACAATTTCGTTTGTTGATTGGCCTGATCGTATTTCCCGTGTTGATCGTACTTGGAATGCTGGTCATATTTTATCTGATGAGAATCGTACTTGAACACCTGATTGGGCTCGTACCTCTGCTGTTCGTGTTTAGCCGGAAGGGCGTGTTCAAATTTTTCTTGAACCTTTCCTTGTTCAAACTTTATCTTATCGGATTGTTCGTTGTTGGGCGTGGGGCCGGTCAACGGTTGAGCCTGGTTGTATCTTTGAACCGAATTTCCAAAACTGGTCCCGCTCGATGACGTGTGAATGGTCGACGAAGGATTAGGAGAATTCTGCGTCTGATACACCGAGGACGAAGACACAGGGTGAGTATTTGCTTGAGCGGAGTGTTGAATTCCGGGATAGTTGTGCCTCGACGAGTAAGTCTGGTCCTGAGTGGACGTTTGATTGTTAGAGGAGGATTGGTTCGATTGCTGCTGATTGCCACCCTGAGTGCTCAGCCCGACGAAATTTTGCGCGTTATTGTGTCCACGGCCTATCAGGCTCAAAGTTTGGGGCATCACGGGATGAATTTTCGTGGAGGAAGTCTGATAGATTTGAGACTTGACGGAGAAACTTGGCGCCACGCTGGATATTGGTTTCTGATGCGTTTGAAGGTTTCTGTGATTTTGAGTTTGAGTAATGGATACGGTGGTGCCAAGATTCGATGTCGATGAACCAACGTTGTGTTGCTTCTGTTGAATGTTTCCGTGTTGTTGTTGTTGTTGCTGCTGCTGTTGCTGCTGCTGCTGTTGTTGCTGTTGCTGCTGTTGCTGTTGCGTCTGCGACTGCTGTTGATGATGGATCCGAAGATTTTGCGACAAACCCTCGGGGCTGAAGTTGTGGGATGTGCTAATCAGGTTGTTGTTCGTACTATTGGCGTTGTTGTTGTTATTATTACTGTTGTTATTGTTGTTGTTGTTGTTATTATTGTTGTTGTTGCAAGTCTGTTGCATGTTCACGGATTGATTAGGCAGGTTCTGGTTGTGTTGATTCGTGCCCAGTAATTGCGATTGACCTGAAAACATTGGACGTAATTGAACGTAAGAAATCTCGAAATCTTAAAGATCGATCTCAAAGATTTTTGTTGGATGATACCAACCTTGAATATGAGATTGGGATTGGCTATGGGCGATTTGATGACCAAATTGTTGAAAAGCTGCCCTCTGACCTAATTGAGAGGCACTGGCCGAGTGTTGTATCTTATTCTTATTAACGTCATCTTCGGCAGCCTTAAAATTCACCGTGAATTTGGTGTTGTAAGGCAGTGTCTGATATTTCGGGTCGTTTTTGTTCAAATTGAAATCGTTGTCGTTCGGTATATGGGAATACGGTTCAATAGCGGCTATATTTCCAGCAGGCCTGGACTTCCCTCCGGCATTGAAGTCCAGCTTCGACTCTGTGAACCCAGTGTTCGCGCTCGTGCGATTCCCAGAGCCTAGCTGCTGGCTCAATCGTTGATTCAACGCTCTTTTGCGTTGAAGACGACCCTGCAGCTGAGCTATCCTCGCGTCTATCGACGCCATCTCTGCTTGTCGTTGCGCTAGGGCCAACCGTTGCTGAGACACCATTTGGTTCTGCTGCTCGTTCATCTTATTACGATACTGTCGACGAAAAAAAAAAAAAAACAGAATAAGAGTTTATTCTCGATTCTTCGATAAAATTGATCTCTCTGAGTGCAAAGAAAATTTTAAAATTCTCTTTTTCTTTCGCTCGAAGCGTTTCGAAAGATCGAAATCACGAGATCGCTGTAGCCACGAGAAAGGAAAGGGAAGGGAGAAGAAAAGGGAGGCTTTGCTTACAATAAGCTCCCTCCTGAGTTTCTCGAG